GTTTGTCCTTTCTTCGATAAGAATTTACCCATATTTTGTGGCATTCGGAAATATCTCCAACGCGTAGCCCGGCATTTTAAACATTCATTTAGTTCTTCTCTGTTATATATAGGAAAATATAGTCACTACTAATATAAAAACAAATAAATTATTAAATTATTTTACACTATTCAATCCAAAAGTGTCAAAATAATTTGAAAGTTCGTCCCGCATTACATCATGCGCAGTTTGGACGAATTTTGAATCGAAAGTCAGCATACCTTTAGTATGTGTATCGTGCAGTTATCAAAATAATTTTGAATTTGTCAATTTGTTAAAAAAATTTGTATCTTTTGATATTTCAAAAGTTTTTATAAGTATTCAACATTCGCTGTACGTGGAACCAATTCCATGTTATAGTTGGACAAAATATAAAATGGTTGCAAGAAAAGAACATTAATTATCCAATCAATGGTATGAAATATCAGATTTGGGAATTTGTACGTCAAAATCTGCCACTAAAAGAATTCAACCTAGATAGATATGTTGAGGAATAAGGGCATAAAATATTAAGAACTGCCAGTACAATGCGATAAAGATGGTGTGGTGAGAGGCCTTAAATGAGTTTTTGTTCATAGAATTTCTCATTTAGAACTTGAGTTGTACAATTTTACATAATATCAGTACAATTTGGAGAGCGGTCCTGTCCTGGGATAGCGGAGGTCCTTTTGTAATAGCTTCAGCGAGTTGAAATAATTCGCTAATCTATCGCGAGAGGGGCGCTCCAATATCATGCCTGAAATACCGACACTTGTTCCGATTCTCAGGCGTTTTTTCCACTAATCTCCACCATTTTTCATTCGATATGATTTTTAGTAGAATACTTTGCGTTACGTTTTTGACGTTCATTCAGACGATTGTCGATATTAAAAATGTCATAAAATTATGATTCGGCGATTTTAAATTGAATAATTTGTAAGAATAATAAATTGATTATTTTTCATCTGTCACAATAAAGGGTTGAGATACATCCGCTGTCAGAAACAGCCTTGTTGTCAAAAAAGTCCAACAAGGTCATAAAATAAAAGTAAATTACAGGATGAACACAGTTATTTTATATTATAGGTGTTTCAATTTCGGTCAAATCTCCTATAAAAACCAATTTTTTTTATATTGCCAAACTATTACATCATTTATTGTTTAATAACACGTAAATAATAAAATAATGAAGATTACGATTTTATTGTTAGTTCTATAAAATCTTCACGATCTAAAATTTCGAACATCGTGTTTGCAAGTTTTGTGACGATTTGTTGAGAAAGCAAACAGCTGTAGAGATAAGTACAGTGATAATCAATAAACGATAACAAATACCTAATATATCGGTACAAAGAGGTTTACAGCCGACGACGTGTTTATTTTTACTTCTATGAGGTGTGAAATATTTTCAAATTATCGGATATAACTACATTCCATAATATATATACTCGTATTTATGATGTCTACCAAAATGATGCGGAATTCTTGTTATATATATTTTTTTATTTCAGCAATTAATAGATATTTACATACAGGGTGTCCTAATAATGTGTGGAAGTTCGATATATTCGTTATTATCCAAAATATAAAAAAATGTTATTTACAAAAGTTGTAGATAATGTTAAGTTGTACATTTCAAAATTATTTTCGAATATACAGAGTAATACATAACTTCAGAAAGAAAATACCAGCATGCATGAGATTATATTAGGTATTTTAGCAGTTTAAACCAATTTTATATGAAAATCGTAATTAAACCCTCTGTATATTTAAAAAAAAATTGAATATCAAAATTTTTGATGACGCATTTTTAATGATAAGAATATACTAATTTTTTTCTCTACGCAAAAAACGCGTGTACACGGTGAGTCAAAACTCAAATACATAATAAAAAAAAATTAATTCAGTGGATAAAAAAACGTAGTTAGAAACCTTAAAAATATAAATTAATTGTTACGTTCTACAAAAACCAGGCGGCACAGGTAAAATTCTTAAAATCACCACACATTATAACTGCCGGCTGTTTAAAATCACAGATTTTGTTTGAGCCGCCTGTGCTGCAAAACTCCCATAAAATGTGTCGATTCCGATTCTACTTTATTTTTAATTTGAATTAGGTGAGCAACAAAGCTGTCAAGTTTTCCGCTCGGCGAGCGACAAATTTGTCACTTAATGTCAGTTCGCGGAAAACGTCAACTTTGCAATCAATTATAATTATGTTCTGTACGGAAATGATCAACAAAACGGCGTTGTTTTGGAGAATGTAAAAGTGACACACGATATAAATCATTCAAAGACAATAGATATTATTTTATAAATATTCCAAAGCCTTGGCTGCAATATCGTGAAAAAATTATCAAATCATCAGACAAAATATATACTAAAACATGTTCAAAATGTACATTATGGGTGAAAAAATGTGCTCAAAGTGACAAAGGTTTTCTATGGATTGATGATGTTACTACTGGGTTGACAGGTATATTATTTTTGAGTTAATTTTTTACCCTGAAAAATTAATTTATTTTTAATGTATTATCTGGTATTACACAATATTTTTTAATATGAAATACTACTTCGGTATACACAGTAATATGATTAAAAATGTCATGTTGATCCTCAAAATATTAATTAATTTATTTTATTAATTATCCCAGCAAACATTTTGGTGTAATTTGACGTCGATACTACCTAAATTATATATAATAAATTTGGTCGCAAAATTAGATTTAACCATAATTAAGTAAAATTTACGTTGGCTCGACGTGGATTCGACATAAGTGGAGAATAAGACGACGTCGAAATTTGGTTTTATTTACCAAAATAGGTAGAATTACATCTAAATCCACATTGTAGTAGCCCAGTACGTTTGGTTAGTAATACCTCTCTAGGGAAATTTGACATCAGTATAACGTTAATTCGACGTTGATTTAACTAAGTTTAGGTAGAAAATACCAAAATATTTGCAGATGACGTATGCCTCCAAGTGTACGAAAAGAAATTTTATACTTATTTGGTATTTTTATCTATATATAAGTAGAAATATTGTAAGAAGTCACCAACACAACTGAAACATATACTTAATTCACATGGAAGATTGAAAATAAATAAATAAATGTCGGTGACAAAAATATATGTAATGTAATTGCGGTGAATATACAGTTCACGCTTGTTGAAATTAATGCGAAGAAAATTTTGTCGTGCATGTTAACAGTTCTACTTAGAAAAATAACAATGCCCTTCCAAAATACTCTCTAATTAAAAAAATATAAGAAAAAAATATGATCGTGTAAAAAAATAATAATATGAGCTAAAACTATGTTAGTTGTTGTGTATCACTTTAGAAAATCAATAATGTTTCGTTTTTCGGTATTTTCATTCGTATGTTCTAGTTATGGTCATTTAAAAATTTTAAATTTTGAATCGTACTTCAATTACGTTAAGAAAATATGGCGTATTGTACGAATTCGACCTAAAAGTTATTATGACTAAGGAAATCTACGTATTTTACAAATACCTTTTTATTAAGTTGAATTAACTTCAATTTCACGACATATTAGTTAACTTTACCTATTTAAAGAAATAATAACTTATAGGTTTTATAAAAAAATTACCTATAGGTAAATATAACATATTTAGGTCACGTTGTTCTGCACTTGAGATTTTAGACGTTTCACTTTACGATAAAAATCGGAAGTATAACGATATGATTTATTATTTTTCGAACTCATTTTATTAATTATTTTTCGCACTTATTTAAAGCTCTATCTACACCACACGTAAATTGAAATTACGACTGTAATGGTTTTTTTTAAAATGGCCGAAATTCTTAAGAATAATGACGAAGACAGTAACTGAACAACCTAATAGTTAAAATAACCTAAATAATATAAATTTCACAAATAGGTCATGTATGACTCTTTTTAAATTGGTGGTTTTTAGTCGAATTTACTTTGTGGTAGATTTTTCAGGTAATTGCTACAACAAAGTTAATAAATATTTCTTCAAGATGACTTATAGGTCATCTAAATGAGTATTCGACTATTTGGTTGAAATTAGGTAGATAAACAGGTAGAATTTTGCTACGATGTCGATCTAATATTACTTTAAAGGAGAGTAAATAAAAGCGGCCAAATAGGTTGCTATGGAGGCATAAAATTACGTAGAATTTTTAACCAAATCTACCTAGTTAAATATTCTACTATAAAGATGATTTTTAGTTTCCAAACAGGTAGATATTACCTAAATATGGCACCTAATTTTACTACAAAGGAAATTTAACTTTGAAGTAATTGTTGGTTATTTTTTTTAGTAGTTTTTCCCTTGCTGATATGGTTAAAGTTACTTTTAAGCAGATTTGTGTAAAAGGTAGATTTCTTGGTATAATTTACGTAAATTTAAATATAAATTAAAACCGTTTGGTACATTTACATTAGAGGTATATTTTTCTAGTTAATTTTACGTAATAATTACCTCAATAAGTAAATTCTTCTTTAACTAAGTCGAGTTATAACTAATGTTATAGAAAATGTTTGCTGGGATACTAGTCATTGATTAAAGTGTTTTGCAAGTATTATTAGTTGGTTGGCATAATTAATAAGAATAGAGTTATATTTGTTTTCATTAATTTTTTACACAGTAAGCCAATATTGATACCTAACCTCTCAATCGGCTTGTTGCGAACGTCCATGACACTTAAACCACCTTTTTAATTGCTCACAACTATGTGCTGCCACAAAGTTATAATCAAGTGAAACACCATCAACGAGTATTTGTAATGATTAATCTGTCTGTATAGATAATATTAGTTTCTCAGCCATTGTTGATCAGAAGAGTACGAAACTTTTGAATTACCGCTATTTTAAAATGGCGGCTGCGTTTGCGCTCATCGTATGATAAAAAGGCCTATTAAGAGAAAATAAGGAAATAATAGACGTATGACATAATTCTGGTATACTTTTTCCAACATAAAACAGACTCACCACGTTTCAGCTTCTCCAGCGGTTCGTGGTGCAGCGACGGCGTGTGCGGCACCACGCCCGGATGGTGCGGCGAGTCGTGCGAGTGCGAGGTCACGTGATGTCCCAATACCGACGACGAAGTTCCGCTCATGATACCGGAAATGGCGGAACTCACGGACACGGTGGTGTCGTGGAGCGGATGATGGCCGTGCATGTCCGAGTTGGCCGAGGAAGTTGTCACGCCGGTCACCAGGTCCTGCAGACACAGCTGCGAATCCTGTAGTGATTCCAAGCGCTCCATGACGTAGTTGAGCAGGATTGACGAAATTATGTTGCGTCTAAATTAATATGCGGGTTGTGTTGGCATAGTTTTTCGTCTGAAACAAAAAAAAATTGTTTAAAATTTCTGCTGTTACCTGAAGAGCCCCAGCTAGGACGAAAACATGATATCATCTTGATATATAAAGAAAATATCTGATAGTTAGAAATTTTGTGTATAAAATTATATAAATTATTAGGTAGGTAGGAACATTTTTTTTTAATTATTATAAATATCTTGTAATAAAATGTAATACGGTCGTTTCCTGTCCGACTAGAAATCGGGTTTAAAAGTAGTGGTATTTTTGAAATATAAATAGATAAGTATGATATACAGGGAAAATTAAAAATTTCAAACATATTAGACTGAAGTTTATGTTAATTTCTCTATATTCATTTTGAACGGTTTTAAATATAAAAGAGAATATAAATAACAACTTTTTGGATAATTGTACACGTCTTAAATGATATGTGGAAACGTGAGAAAATTAAAAGTCTAAATGCATGTGTTATAAAAATTGTTTAAAACACTTTTGCTGCCCAAGCTTTAATTAATCCCAACTACACGTAGCCCATCGATATACGAAAATTTAGAATTTTGGACGTTCATTAACGTCATGGGCCATACATAATGAAAATCTAAAAATGTATTCTGTAAAATAGATAATATATATATACAGGGTGATTATAAATACGGGTATAAGTTAAAACAAAAAGAGAAAGGAATATAAATTTTTATTTTTCTTTTGGTTTTGTCTGACTTTTTCGAGGATTTCAAATCTCTGTTTGCATATTTAGGAGTATAAAAAATTCTGAGTCTTATAAATAATTTAATGGTGTACATTTTCGCAAATTGTTGGCAAGGTATTTGTTGGAGATTCCAGGTTTAGTTGACAAACTATCAAATAGGGATACAAATATTTTTTCTAATTTGAAACTATAAAATAGAAATTTTTTGCTGGGAGATTTTAAATTTCCAAACACCTTTTCTTCAGAGTCGTATGCTTTAAAATGCGTTAACAAGTTAGAATTGTTAAGTAAATTGCATTCTTCTGAGAAATTTACGCAAATTTCGCAAGAGTGGATATGTAATGATTTTTGATTAAATAGCCACATACATAGTTAAATCCATTTTGAGTGGTCACATTTAGCTCCCTGTAGTCACATTCAGAAATCGTTATTCTACAATTATAGAATGTTTTTATTTATTTCCAAACAATTTCCTTGCCCTCAAAATTATACTTCGTTATTCTAGTGATCACAAAGCCGGCGCATGCGCAAGCCGCGGCGACGTATAACTGCAGGTTTAGTAACTTTCTTATTCATTAAAAATAAAAGTTAATTTTTAAATTTAAAACCATGCGACGATAATTTCAAATGTATTTAATGTTGATAAATGTTAATTTTTGAATTTGAATTAGGTACCTAAGTTTCCTAATTATGTGCGATATTATAAGACTAATATACCTATCTACTACGTATTCCAGAAGTATCTAATATCTAATTGTACATAAATGCATAGATTACTCGTATTCGTAAATCACCGACGTATTAGGCTAATACGTCGAGATTTTACGAAGCTATTATTCTCGATACCGAACTGATCCGAGTATCTATATGTCGGCTGTTTCCGAATATGCTACCGGGTCGCTGGCTGACGGTGTATCTATAAATTCATTTATCGATCAAGGTGGTCAAGCACTTCATGAATGGGTAACCCGAGACTATAAGTTCTCGGGAGCATATCTAGGGAGTGGAATAAATGAGGAATTAATTAATCGAAAGAAGTAGGGTATCCAAATGGTGGTACAATTAGTAAATGAAACTGCAGCCACCATGTCAAAATCTTGTAGGGAAGGCTGGACCATTCAAGGCGGTAGTCAAAAACAATCAAGAGTAGTTTAAAAGAAAGTCTGAAAGGACAAAAAAGGCGTTAAATTCTTCGTCGTAGTTCTATACAGGCTGTCCCGTTAGTGCATAATTGCTTGATATTTTAATTTGTGTAAAAGACACATGTTTTGAATGAAAGTTATGTGGATTTGAAAAAATATAATTTAGATATACAGGGTGTTACGCTTTTTCCTGGAAAGTAAAAACATGTTTTTAAATGGAACACCCTGTATTTTATTTCAGTTTTAAAGTGGCATGGTAATACTGTATTTTTCACTAGAATATTTTTTAACTTATAAGGACCAAGGTGTGATATAAGAACTGGTTCATTTTATAGAGTGTTTCAATTATACATATACAGGGTGCCCTATCAGTGTCAAAAGATATTTTATTATTGGAGATATGAAGAAATGTTTAAAAGTTGTAAGACCTTATTTTACAATTACTCCTAAATATACATAGTAATCTATAAATGAGGGGAAAACCAAACAGATAGTTTTTTAAATCAAACACCCTGTAGGTAATTACGCCTTACAGATTTGGTTGTTTTACATCGTTTTATAATTTTAAGAGACTAAACGTTTCTAAAAATGTTTTGTTAAACATTTTTAGATGTTTCTTCATTCATTTGCTGTGATGTAAACAGGGTGTGTCTAAACTGGAGGTTACTATATTCTCAATTTTTTTCAAATATAATAAACATTCTGTGTGTTATACTACCAATTTATGCTAATATAATTTTTGGTAACCCATTTGTTATAATTAATTAATGGTTTTCTATTCCTTCGACGTTACAATATAAACCATTGTAAATAAAATTTAAAAATCCCTGTAGTCTGTAGACTTAAGAATGCCAAACAAAATAAAAAGTAAAGAAACAATTATTAGTTGATTAAATTTGTGGTGTAACATACAGATATACTATTTCAAAAAAAAAAATAAGAAAATCGTAATCTTGCGTTTTGACAAACCCAATATACAACGTAGCAAATGAATGGAAAGTCAAAAAGTCTATAAAAATTGTTTGTCGATATGAAAACACATAAATTTGTTATACAAGGGGGTTTTATTTTAAAACAGTATAAGTTTTTTCACCACTAATTTATGAACTTTCCTGTATACTTAAGAATAATTTTAAAATATGGTCGTACAACTTAAAATGTCTTCGTATCTTCAATAATAAAATCAATCAATTACGCACTGATGAGACATCCTGTGTATGTATAATAGGCTAACATGATGGTATCGTTAGATAGGTAAATTTATAATGAATTTATAGCTCAAATAACATACAGGGTGTTGCATTCAAATTGAGTAAAATGAAGTTTAAATGAGCCATATTTATGAGATTTTTCAAAACCCTCTGTATAAAATAAACTTTTGTATACACTTCCTAACTTGTCCTGGCTTCAAAAAACGTTTACTCTAGCTATAAGGTTTTACTTTTGAGTCATTCCATACAAAATCATCTGAAAATAAAAAAAAATGTTACCGATCCATTTCAGATTTTGGTGTAACTTTGAGGAACTATTCCTTAGGGTCCCAAAGAAGAAAATTTACACGAGTTTGATTTTTATAAGCACTCCTTTCCACTTATTTAAATAAAGACTTTAAAAAATCGATATTTTTAAGCCTTATCGACTTTTCCTCTGAAATTTTTATTTTTGAAGATAACTACATTATTAAAGCGGAATTCTGAGGTGGAAAGATAGTAGTTTAAGTATAAGCATCGATAATTTGCTCAGTCAATACCTCTGATTAACGGTAGCGTGCTGAAAATTAGTGTTTTTTGATCATTTTTCGTGAATTTCAATCGACTCTAGTGTCTTAACTGCTTAGACTTAGCAGCTTATGTTCCTCAGAAATTAAGTGTATATATCATAGATAAAATACAGCCACAAGTCAACCTGAGCAGCCCACTCTTTGCAGAGAAAAACTTCACTTGAAGTTTTGAAATTTTCAAAAATTGCATTATTCAGGGTATATAATGACTGCCAGATAAAAATCTGAAACTCTCAGAATCTACTGTTTTTACCTTTAGCTTTAAATGACCGTACCACTTGTTTTGTTATTTTTATGTTTAGTGCATGTGCGAGTCGTTTTTTTCAATCCAATATTTAAAACGTCCAGTAAGAAACTGTTAGATATTAAAACACCTGAAGTTCGATAAAAAGGTAAGATATTGTTACGCTGGTTTTTGGTATCACAATTTATTTTAATTCAACTTTTACAATAACTTAATTCAACTGATACAATAATTTTAACTGATAACATTAACATGTAACGTCTATCATAAAACTGAACTCTGACGTCAGGTCGTCGACTTATATAGCTTGCTTCGACCTTCTAGAACCTTCTCGAACAATCCGGACTTTCCTTCGACAAGGAATGACATTTCGAGACATTTCTTCGACAAGGAATGACATTTCGAGACATTTCTGGATTATTCTATTTTCTTTATTTACTCGTACCTTTACTTATGACGACCGCAGCACGATACAGGGTGCTGCGTAACAATATAATCTGTATTTGCGAAAAAGCATTAAGAAAAACTGAATTTATTAGATTATAAAATAAAAAAATTAAGTTGATTTTTGCTGTAAAAAAACGACTTGCACATTTAAAGTTAAAGGTAAGAACAGTAGATTCTGAGAGTTTCAGATTTTTATCTGGCAGTCAACACGTTCATTATACAGGGTGTTTCCGAACTTGGCGTCCAAATTTGTAGGGGTGGTAGTTCGCATAATTTAAGACCGTCGCAGATTTCATTTTTCCAAAATATTTAAAATAAAAATATTTAAAAGTTAATTAAAAATAATAAATAGGTACGGTCCTGCGCAGCGATAGGATCACCTCGACTCGCGCGCGCTACGCTTAGAATTGACAAAATTGCAAATCGCATCTGTTTTTGAGGACTATTGCGCTACGCGCTCAGGGTAAGACCTGCTCTTTGATTTTTTTATAATGGCTCTATTTTGTTTATTATCATTTTTTTAGAAAAATTAAATCTGCCAATCGCTCTCAAATTATGCGAACTACCACCCCTACAAATTTGGATGCCAAGTTCGGAAACACCCTGTATAACCTGAATAATGCAATTTTTTAAAATTTTAAAACTTCAAGCAAAGTTTTTTTTGCAAAGAGTGGGCTGCTCAGGTTGACTTGTGGC